AAGTAGCCTCCATGGATTACGGCAAGTAACACTCCTTCCCACCCTCATTTCAGGGAAAGATCTCTTTGAGGTCGCTTGGAGCAGGCAGTAGAGAACATCTAGAATATTCTTGGCAGACTTTTATGTCTTTAGGTATCCTTAAGGTGCACCCATAGTGGTGCAGCTCTGTCTAATAATTTAAATAAATAAATCGTTCTGTGAGCATTATGTGCCTTCAACTACACATCAAATGGCTGCCTGCATCTTAAAACTGGGGACACGCTTCCTCTACGTGGGCTTCTAAAATAGGCATGTTTTACCGGATACCTTTTTCAAGTCTGGAAATCTGCAGGTTTCCAAACGGCAAGTGGAAGCCGCCGGCATCCATTTCAAGGTGGGGCCGCTTGGGGATATCCACAGAAGGCCTTAGGAATGGATCTCCACAGATGGGAAACCTTGACCTCTGTGCGTTCAGCCTGGAGGCAGGCGGTGGGTGTGTCACGGCCCCTCCCAATTTGAAGAGACCCTTGTCCAGCAGGCCGAGGCAAAGAGGCAGTCCCCAAATCAGCAAAATCAGGGAGCTGGACAGGGGACAGACTGTATTTGTCTCCAGTGTGGAAGGGATGGTCACTCTCGAATTGGCCTTCTCAGCCACACACCAGACACTGTTCCAAGTCCTCCCTACAGAGCACGTTCCCATCATCTCTCGAGCATGAAGGATGCCTAATCTAATCTAGCACCTTTTCCCAATCTTGGAAATGTTACATTTTGGTGACCGCTCCCAAAGTGTGGAGCTGTCTGGGGTTTTTGGGAATTGTGGTCCAAATGGTAGTCCTCAAGTGAAACAGCTTCAGACGCAGGGATATTGCCTCCCCGGGAGGTTGCTTAAATATCTGGTGCAGGCTGGAGGAAGTGCTCCTCAACACGTTCCTTTTGTAGCCAGACTCTCACAAAAGTTCATTCTTAGTCTGCCGTGTTTTACTGCACTCCTGCCTCTTGTGTGCACACCAAATGTTGAGATATTCCCCGGCTGAAAAATGAAATAGGTACTGCTGGATTAAAATCCAAACCAAAAGGGGCAAAACCCACACAAGACAGCCTTATTCTGGATCGGATAAATGTCCCGGTCCATTTGCCCAGCGGTTGACCTCTTTTCCAGCTTGACTGCCTTCAAGGACCCACTTCTACAGCTGATTATTTTGTGTGTCCAAACTTTCTCCAGTCCTGTTTTTTTTTTCCCCCTTGTTCTCAAGAATATAACAGGAAATGTTCAGAGAAACGGCTCTTTCCTCCATGAGACTTTAGGATATTTCATTTTGCTAGATAGTTCAGTGAGTTGAGATGTGGAGCCAGAGGTTGAAGGTTCGATTCCTCGTTTTGCCTCCCAAGAGAAGGACCGGTCTGTGCGATCTTTGGCAGATCCCCCAGTCCTTAAAGCACTTCCAGAAGAAGGGAAAGGTAGACCACTTATCTGTACTCCATAACTAAAAAACCTTGGAAAGAATTGACTTGAGGGCACATCATTATTATAATTTTCCATGCACCTAAACCACTCTGTATTCCTCACTCCCGCTCTGTAGTGGTTTAGGTGCTTTACAGATTTCTCGAAGTGGGCTGCTTTGCTTTGCTTTGCTTTGCTTTGCGGCCAAGTTAGTTCCTTAGAGATTAAGTCTTGGGCTTTATTTGTTGGTCCTGTCAACTCTTTCCTGAGGCATGTCAAGACATCTCAGGCACGATTTACCCATTGAGCAGAGATTTGAACTCAGGCTTCTTGCGTCCTCGTCCAACGCTTTGTCCCTTATGCCACACTAGCTGCCTGAGCTTCATTAGTTCCTTCCATGTTAATTAATAAGAGGTTTTTGGGGGTAATGTTCTCAAAACGTTTTTCCCAGTTGTTGTTTTTTTTTAACTCAGTAACTGGGTCTTTGCTTCTTCTTTTTTTTAAGTGTCGCAATAATCCGGTTTTCTTTTCTTTTCTTCCAAATTGCCTTGCCTGGCTGCCTGGCTGGCACGCTCCTGTTTCCACAGGCTGTGTAAATCCTTTGTGTGCATAATCCTTCGCCTGCAGGCACAAGAAAAGGAGGAGGAGGGTTGCTCAACCGGAGCATTGTCACATTCAAAAACTTTTGCACGGGTCTTTTTCGCTGGGATGACCCAAACCTTTTGGCACAAGGGGCGTGGAGGGAGAAGGGGGTTCTCTCTGGGGTTCGTGTCTTAGCAAGCTGTCTTATTTTATTCTGCTTTCCTTTCCATTTTCCTGATTCATGTTTTTGCACCCGTTCTGCTGAGCTCCCTCTGGCATGAGGAAAAACTTTCCCCACCTTTGGTATCTTTGCACAAATCCCCTCCAGGGCCACATTTCACCGCCCACCTGGACGACTTCTCTTGCCAGCGGCTTACGATCTGGACAGGATGCACATTCGGACCGGGTAAACGTGTGCGTTCCTGTAGAGCCTTTGTTTGAGGAGCTGGTGCGTCGCCCGGTCATAGACACCTCATGGCCCCCGTCCTAAAGCAAACAAACAACTCATGCCATTTCTGTGTAAGAGATGAATGGATAAGAGGGAAGGGAGGGGAGAGGCGAGTGATGATGGTGCTTGTCACCCGAGCCAGGGCTTTCCCGTGCCACGTGGAAACAATAGACAAGTTCTGCAAACATCCAGGTACTTGGCACCCTTTCTGTGGACACTGGGTGGGTAAGGCGGGTGGGGTAGGGGGGGACACTTGGTTCCCGAAGACTTAAAGTGGCAATTCCGCATTGCTACTCTAAAACCTGGGCAGAGCTGCAGAGAAAAACCTTGATACGGTGAAGACTTCAGCTTTCAGAATTCCGCTTCCTGCTTTAAAATATTTATTTATTTATTTTATATCCCGCCTATCTGGTCTCGCGACTACTCTATGTGTGTGTGGGCGCACTTTTCTAGCTCTTATGCATTTGTGAAGATAGATTTTAAAATGAGTAAAGAGGTAAAGGGAAAAGTTCCCCTTGACATTGGGTCCAGTCGTGTCCAACTCTAGGGCGCGGTGCTCATCCCCGTTTCCAAGCCGTAGAGCCAGCATTTGTCCAAAGACAGTTTCCGTGGGCACGTGGCCATGCGACTAGACACGGAATGCCATTACCTTCCCACCGAAGTGGTGCCTATATATCTACTCACATTTTTTACATGCTTTCGAACGGCTAGGTTGGCAGGAGCTGGGACAAGCGATGGGCGCTCACTCCGTCACGTGGCTTAGATCTTATGACAGTTGGTTTTCTGACCTTGCAGCACAGAGGCTTCTGTGGTTTATCCCGCAGCACCACCACATCCCACTAAAAATGGGTAGGAAGGACTTAATGAAGATGCGGCTGACCTTTCTCGGCTATGGGGTGGGGAGGCAGTTCTCAGTCTGCTGTTCCTCTGGCTGAGTCCTAGAAGATTGTCATCAAGTTTCCTGTCCTAACATGACACAGACCTTGGAAGCGTTTCAGCGACAGCTTCCAGAACATGGCCAGTGGGAGTTGCAGGCCCCTTCCCCAAATGGACATTGTCTCAGCTCTGGACCTGTGTATTTGGGCTGGTTTTTAGAGCTGAGGGGGGGAATTTGTGAATAACCCATTTCACGTAGGGTTGCTTGCTCTTCCGTTATGGTTGCCTGAGGTAAGTGCCCAGGTGTGGCACTCTTGCATATGAATAATAATATGCAAGTGTCTAAAAACTGGAGGAGGTTGTGAGGGATGTTACTGTTTGATCCTAAACATGAGAGGAGCAAATGGAAGCCATTTTTCAGCAGGCTTCTTTTGCAACGGCCACGGCTTGGCCGTGTGGATCTCTTGGAGAGAAACGGAGGGGGAAAGAAGTGACTCTGTTAGAAATTTCTCTGAATGTGACTTTCTGCTCTAAGACAGCTAGCAGGAAACGATGTCCTTTTGGTGTCATTCATCTTGGGAAGAAATGGCAGGCTGTGTAGGATGATTTGACGTCCTGCGTAGAGTGGCAACTTTCCTGCACAGGCCTTTGCTTGCTGACAACAGTAGAACCCAGTGCAGGATTATTAGTCTTCCTGCACAGCATGGAATGTTTCTCGAACAGAGCTTTTCTAGACTGTGCAGAAGAAACACTGAGCTGGACAGGGTTGATGCAGTTCCTGCACAGAACGGCATCTGTCCTGTGCAGGATTTGCCGTTTTGAATTTGGCAGAGCAGGGAGCGAAAAGAGAAGGAATAGTAACAGGGAAAAGGAGTGAGTGCTCTGTTTTTTTTTGTGGGAAGCCAGGGAAATCTTGCTGGCGCAGGGGGTGTCTTGGCATGGATTCAGGGCATGGTAGCACTTGAAAAATCACCTCGGGCAAGACCTTTTGGGCAAGTACTGACCCACCTGTGCCATGGCCACAGAAGCAGTGGTTTTGAAAAGGAAAGGTGTCCATTTATGGGAAAGTGGTCTGTCAACTGTGCTGTCTAAAATTAAAGCCAGAATCCTGTCGAGTGCCAGTGAAGTGTTCCTCGGGCTGGTGATTTCTCAGGCTGGTCCTCTCCTGGCACCCCAGTAGGTTCTTTAGATCAGTCATTCCCACCACGGTGCCCTCCAGGAGTGTCAGGACTATGACTACAACACCCCAGCTGAGTGTTGCTCAGCACTCCTGCAAGCCACCCATGTGAAGGCCTTGGCAAGAAGCATCCTCTGCCACCAAGCGAGACAGACGGGTCTGCTTCCCAAGGTCACGTCACCTCCACGGGTCTGGGTTTAGCTAGGGCAAGGGTGAAGAAGCACATCTTTCACTGCGAGGTCCAGGTTCGACTTCAGACATGTTCTCTAGGGAGGCCGAGAGGTGTCCCCATGAGGACCAGGGCCAAACTGAAAAGTTACGACACAAAATTAGCAGGATCTTTGGGTTCCTCATAGCTCTGACTGTGCCAACATTTCAACCATAAGAGAAGGACAGAACCCCATCCAGAAGCTGGGAAGCTACCAAACAACAATGCAAAGGGGGGAATTCCTGAGGGTTGCCTCCTGACGTGGCCTTTCTTTTCGCCCCGGTTGTAGTACTCCACAGAACTGAAGAAGCTGTACTGCCAGATTGCCAAGACGTGTCCCATTCAGATCAAGGTGATGACGCCTCCCCCTCAGGGTGCCGTCATCCGCGCCATGCCAGTGTATAAGAAAGCAGAACATGTCACGGAAGTGGTGAAGCGCTGTCCTAATCACGAGCTCAGCCGGGAATTCAACGAAGGTGAGTCCAACGTCCCCAAATTCAGGGCAGAATCTTTGCAGCCTTTGCCTGCCCTTGGCAGGGCAAAACAGGGCCTTCTTTGCAAGACAGGCTGCCTAGGCATGCCAGCTTTGAAGGAACACGTCTCTGAAGGGAAAACATGTTATCTTTCCAACAGCAAAGCTAGCATCTTACCGAGCTCTGCCCTCAGGTTCACCTCCATGGAAGAGGCTGCTTCTCCTGCTGACCTCGTTCTCTCTTTGTGTGTGTGTGTGTGTGTATCTGCAGGTCAAATCGCTCCTCCCAGTCACCTCATCAGAGTTGAAGGAAACAGCCATGCCCAGTATGTGGAGGACCCGATCACTGGGAGACAGAGTGTCCTTGTGCCTTATGAGCCGCCCCAGGTGAGGACTGGGAACGTGGGGTCTTTCAGCCTGTTGTCCTTTTGTCTCTTTTGATGCAACACAACTGTACAGATTCTACAAACCCCTTGCCGTGACCTCTCATGGCTGGGGATTCTGGGAGTTGAAGTCCAACAAGGCTCTCTAACCCAGAGGTCACGAGATGGTCTGCACTGTGTTGTGTACCCATCAGAATGAAACAGGTGGTTGGTTTTAAAGAGTTTGTTTGTAAACAAGAGTAGACCTTTGGTCTAGATGCACAGGATAGAAATCCAATAAACAAACAAACAAACAAACAAACAAACAAGCATGCATTAAGAAGCAATGCATTAATTTGCCAATTTCTAATATTTAACTTCAGCTAATTCATTTTCATTGGTAGCTCACTTGAAAAATTTGCACAGCACTTAGCAGGCAGAATCTGCTGAGGTCTGCTCTGACTTAGATACTGCCGTTAATACATAGATGTAACTATGGCTCCTGCTTGTCCAGTGTTGATGGGTAAGTTTCAGTTTTTGCAGCTTGATAATGTAGACACCACGAGCCTTGGAGGAGAGGTGAAGGCTACCCCTTGCCTGCTAGGCCCTTGTTCCTCTTGGCTTATAAAAGCTGGTGGAATGGGTCCAAGTGGGAATGAATGCCTCTGTGCAGCAGGATGGGATCCCGGCATGCTTAAAAGAGGCAGTAGTAAGTCCCTTATTGAAATAAACCCTCCTTCAGTCCCACAAAATTGGATAATTACCGGCCAGTCTCCAACGTCCCATTCTTGGGCAAGGTGCTGGAGCACATTGTGGCTTCTCAGCTCCAGGGGTTCCTGGATGAGACAGATTATCTAGATCCATTTCAATCTGGCTTCAGGCCTGGTTATGAGAGAGAGACTACTTTGATCACCTTGGTGGGTGACCTACACCAGGAACTGAACAGGGGGGAGTGTGTTTCTGTTGGTTGTGCCAGACTTGTCAGTGGATTTCAATACCATCAACCATCGTACCCTTCTGGGCTCGCTCTCTCTCTCTCTCTGGGAGGGGGCTCGGAGGCACTGTTTTATAGTGGCTCTGGCCCTTCCTGGAGAGAAGAAGCCACCAGGCGGTGCTGGGGGGGCTCCTGTTTGACACCCCCTCAGGGATCTGTTTTGCCCCCTGTGCTATTTAGCATCAATATGAAACCACTGGGAGAGGTTGTCCAGGATTTTGGGGTTTGGTGTCACCAGTATGCAGATGACACCCAAGCCCTTTCCACCTAAACCCGAGGAAGCTGTTTCGGTTCTAGATCAGTGCCTGGTGTCAGTAACGGACTGGATGGGGGCGAATGAACTGAAGCTTCATCCAGACAAGACGGAGGTGCTTCTAGTTGGTTGAAAGGCTGATCAAAGAATAAAGATACAGCCTGTGTCGGATGGGGTGACACTCCCTCTGGAAACACAGCTTGGGGATGCTCTTGGATTCGTCTCTGAGCCGAGACGCCCAGGTTTCAGCGATGGACAGGAGTGCTTTTACACAGTTAAAACTAGTGCGCCAGCTGCGCCTGTTCCTTGAGAGGTCTGATCTGGCCACGGTGACAACTTCTTGTAGTTACGTCTCGACTGGATTACTGTAACACACTCTACATGGGGCTGCCTTTGGAAACTGTTAGGTTACAGGGGTCACGCAACTCGACTGTTGCATCAGTTCCATTGGCTCCCAGTCTTCTTCTGGGCCCAATTCTAAGTGCTAGTTTTAACCTATAAAGCTTGGGTCCAAGCTATCTCAAAGAACCAAGACTCCCATGATGAGCCGGCTCGGGTGTTAAGATCATCAGGGGAGGCCTTTCTTTCGATCCCACCACCTTCACAAGTATGTTTGGTGGAGACACATGAGTGTATCTTCCATTATGAGCTGGTTCGGTTGTTAAGATCTTCAGAAGAGTTCTGCGTCTGATGGGGACCCGGGAGAGGGCCTTCTCTGTGGTTACTCCCAGCTTTTGGAACTCCCTCCCACAGGAGATCCGACTGGCCTGGTCTTTGCTGTCCTTCCACAGGCAGGCAAAGACCCTTCTCTTCAGATGAGCTTTCCGTTAATGACTGGTTGCCCGAGTGGGGTTTTTTTAATGAATTGTTGTTTCCAATGTGTTTTAGTATTGATTTCATTGCTGTTTTTAATGTAATGCTTGTTTAAGTTTTTAAAATATTTGTATACCTAATGTTTTTACCTTCTACGTATTGTCTTTTTAAGGATGTAAGTCACCTTGCATTCTTTTTAAGGAGAAAGGTGGGATATCAGTGGTTTGGGAAGCTCACTCTCTTTTTGGGGGGCGGCTGTCACCACGAAGAGCCTCACCACAAAGAGCGTGGTCCGCAGCTTGGGGGGTCCATCTCGACCTAGCGCTTACCATGGAGTCCTCATCTTTGGAACACCTTACCCCTGGGAGATCTGACGGACACCCTCCCTGCTCGGAATTTTTAAAAACAAGTTGAAGACTTGGCTCTTCTGGCAGGCCTCCCCCCCCCTCCCATGACATAGCTTCCTTATCCCATCTTGGATCCTGTTTTCTTTATTGATCTTTATTGTTCTTAACAACGAAATTATTCAAATGTTGTTTTTATCTTTATATTTCGTAAGCCGCCCGGAGTAGATTCCTGAATCTAGATGGGCGAGGTAAAAATGGAACAAACAAACAAACAAACAAACAAATAAACAATCATTCACTTACTTACTTACTTACTTACTTACTTACTTACTTACTTACTTACTTACTTACTTACTTACTTACTTACTTACTTACTTACTTACTTACTTACTTACTTACTTACTTACTTACTTACTTACTTACTTACTTACTTACTTACTTACTTACTTACTTACTTACTTACTTACTTACTTACTTACTTACTTACTTACTTACTTACTTACTTACTTACTTACTTACTTACTTACTTACTTACTTACTTACTTACTTACTTACTTACTTACTTACTTACTTACTTACTTACTTACTTACTTACTTACTTACTTACTTACTTACTTACTTACTTACTTACTTACTTACTTACTTACTTACTTACTTACTTACTTACTTACTTACTTACTTACTTACTTACTTACTTACTTACTTACTTACTTACTTACTTACTTACTTACTTACTTACTTACTTACTTACTTACTTACTTACTTACTTACTTACTTACTTACTTACTTACTTACTTACTTACTTACTTACTTACTTACTTACTTACTTACTTACTTACTTACTTACTTACTTACTTACTTACTTACTTACTTACTTACTTACTTACTTACTTACTTACTTACTTACTTACTTACTTACTTACTTACTTACTTACTTACTTACTTACTTACTTACTTACTTACTTACTTACTTACTTACTTACTTACTTACTTACTTACTTACTTACTTACTTACTTACTTACTTACTTAACATCACATTCCAAGCTCTGTATGTGTGCCTGATGTAGATGAACTGGATGCATGGATCTTGTATCCACATTGAAAATACCCAGAACCTGGAGGCTTCCTAGAGAAAATTTGATTTGCGATCCTGCCTTGAGCAGGGGGTGGAACTTGAAGGCCTTATAGGTCCCTTCCAGCTCCATCATGCTGTGATTCTGTGATCAACTGTGAGGTTACAATTGAATGAGTGACTCAAAGCTGAAGCAAATGATCTCCACTTCCAGCTCCATCATTCTGTGATTCTGTGATCAACTGTAAGGTTACAATTGAATGAGTGACTCAACGCTGAAGCAAATGATCTCCCACGTCTCCTTCTCCCCAGGTTGGCACTGAATTCACCACCGTTTTGTACAATTTCATGTGCAACAGCAGCTGCGTCGGGGGCATGAACCGGCGCCCGATCCTTATCATTGTGACGCTTGAGACCAGAGAGTAAGTAGCAATGGTGGGAGGATCAATGGCAACACGTGATATCCTGTCTCCACTATATCTGGTTGGGAAGGATGTCATAATCCAGGGAAAGATGCAAAACTGTGAGCTTGATTTCCAAGGTTTAATTGTTTTTTTTCAAAGATGAGATTTCTGGGCATGGCGCTTCTTGGATCCCACCTAGAAAAATGGAATAAGAGAAGTATAGCTTCCAAAATCTGCAAGGTGCTAGTCCCCTTCTATTCAGCACTGGTTAGGCCTCATCTTGAGAATTGTGTCCAGTTGTGGACACCACACTTCAAGAAGGATGCTAACAAATTGGAACAAGTTCATAGGAGGGCGACAAGGATGATGATCAGGGGGCTGGAAAACCAACCCTTATAAGGAAAGGCTGAAATAATGGGGCATGTTTAGCCTTGAGAAAAGGAGGCTGAGGGGTGATAGGATAGCACTTTTCAAATATTTGAAAGGCCGTCATACAGAGGAGGGGCAGGATCTGTTCTCAATCATCCCAGAGTGCAGGACACGCAACAATGGGCTCAAGCTACATAAAGCTGGAGTTTGATTGAATATCAAGAAAAACTTCCTAACTGTTAGGACAGTACAACAAGGGACCTGGTAACCTGAAGAGGTGGTGAGCACTCCAACCCTGGAGGCATTCAAGAGAAACCTAGACCCCCACCTGGTAGATATCCTTTGATTTATTCCTGCCTCGAGCAGGGACGTGGACTTGATGGCCTTATAGGTCCCTTCCAACTTCACTGTTCTATGACTCTGTGAAGTGTGTTCTTCTGAGTCTTGCAGAATGGTGCACCTCCCTCAACCACCATCTGCATCCATGCCAGGCTTCTTTCGGGCATCATGTTCTCCGTCTGAAGTTCTCTAGGCCACCCTTGACACCCCTATGCAGGTCCGTACGGTTGCCTAAATAGGATGTGCCCCTTGCAGCCTTTCACTCTCAGGGGTGGGGAGGGAGAGACCTTCTTTTGTCCTCGGAGTGAGATTTCTCTAGGAAAGGATTTTTTTTCCTTCCCCACCCCCACCCAATCTGGAAGATCTTAATGTCAGTCTGCGCAGGAATGTTAGCATTCCTGCACCGAATGGCATCTTTTCTGTGCAGGATTTTCTGGAAAGGGAGCTAAGCAGCACGGAATCTGGCAGTTTCATGTTGAGAATCAGGGCAGGATGAATAGTAGTCCTTTGGGAAGATAAGAATTGTTTCTGGTGTACGAGAGGTGACACAGCTTCCTCTTCGCTTCCTCCCTCAGCGGTCAAGTTCTGGGTCGCCGGTGCTTTGAGGCACGGATCTGCGCTTGCCCAGGCCGGGACCGTAAAGCAGACGAGGACAGCATCCGGAAGCAGCAGGTCTCGGACACCACAAAGAATGGTGACGGTACGAAGCGCCGTAAGTAGCCAGAGGCAGGCACCCTCCCTCCGGGCTCTGCCTGGACCAGAGGGGTTTGGGTGCAAAGGACTTGCAAGGCAAGGGATTTGGGGTTTGCAGCGAGCAAGTCTCGGACCTACACTGAAGTCTGAGTGTTTTCCAAGGGCCAGCCTTGATGACTTGTGCCCCAGCCGGATCAGTTCTGGGAAAGGCAGCTGCAAGTCATTCCAGAAGGCCAGTCAAGGGGATGGCGGTGCAGACCAGAGGCCACCTTGGCTAGCCCGCGTGTGTTTTGTGGAATGGGAGGTACCGAAGCAGAACGGGGAAAACAGTCCTCAGAAGATAAAAGCCAGTTAAAGAATCCATCAGGGTCCTGAGCAACACTGATTTGATCCCGCTCCCCCCCTTCATAACAAGGCTGGCCTCCCAGCTGAAAAGAACTTCTACTTCCCTACCCCTCCCCCCCCCCGAGATAAACATCCGTCAACAGAAGGAGATATTTTAGGACTTACCCTGGAGGGTAGTTTTTGCAGATCTGAAGACTGATTTTGCTTACTAATTGAACCAGCTCCCCTCCCATCTCCCTGGCCATATCCCTACAGTTTTTAAAATTATTTTCTCATTTTTTAAAAAATGAATCTTGCATTGTTTTCTTCACTAACACACAAACCCCTGTTTTCACACTCATGTTTGCTTTGTAGAAGAATCTGCACTTCTGGAAGCACCCAAGTCCCAATATTGCTTCCTGTCTTTACTTTATGTATATTGTTTCCATGCCACCCATCTTGCCCTGCATTGCAACCCCCCCACACACACACACACACACCTCACCTGGCTTTAGATGGGCATCAGTTCCTAATTCCAAGATGTTTGAAAATATATTAGGTTTTCATGGTGGTGGTTGGATGCTTGATCATCTCCTGCTACCCACGAGGAGCGCCTCTCTTTTTCGCACCCTGAACTTACGATCCAAAATCACAGGGCTGGAGATTGTTGCAAGAGCACCTCCCGGCTCTGCCCAGATCCCGCAGAGGCAGACGATGAATCATGTCACAAGTTGAAAAGTTCATAGATTTGGTAGATAAGTCAAAATCTGAGCCACGTGGGTGGCCCAAAAAGGCCATGGGATTTAATACGGCACACGCTTTTCTGTTTTCTGTTTGGGCAGCTTTCCGACAGAGCACACACGGGATCCAGATGACGTCGGTCAAGAAGCGGCGCGCTCCGGATGACGAGCTGTTGTACCTACCGGTAAGGGTAGGAGGTGGTTTCTAATGGGCGCCGTTTGTCATCCTCTCCGTTACTGGTTTGGAGACACTGGCCAGGATGCAGGGAGGGTGCTTCATTCATTGGAGGCTCACAGGGCTAGATCAGGAAGGTGGATCTTGTAGCTTCTCATTGTGAGGGAGAAACTGAGGGAGAGGAAAATCTCTCTCTCTCCTACTCCCCCACCTTCTCACAGTGAGATAGGAAACCACCTTTCAAATATTTGAAAGGCAGTCCTGCAGAGGAGGGGCAGGATCTGTTCTCGATCATCCCAGAGTTCAGGGCATGTAAGAATGGGCTCAAGTTACAAGAGGTCAGATTTCGGCTGAATATCAGGAAAAACTCCCCAACTGTTAGAGCAGTACAACAAGGGAACCCATGACCTCGGGAAGTGGTGATCACTCCAATGCTGGAGGGATTCAAGAGAAAATGGGACCACCCTCTGTCAGATCTGCTTGGATTTGGATTCCTGCCTTGAGCAGGAGGTTGGACTTGATGACCTTAGAAGCCCCCTTCCAGTTTTATGATGTTATGATTCTACAAGGTTCTGCTCCCCCTGGAAATCCTTGGAGAAATCTAATGTTTCTGGAAGGACCACTCTTTTAGATGGAATCCTTACAATTCCTGCATAAAACGACATTTTTCGCACACAAGATTGCCACATTCCTAGGCTAGACCAGTTCATTAAGTTGTGTCCGACTCTTTGTGACCCCATGGACCAGAGCACGCCAGGCCCTCATGTCTTCCACTGTCTCCTGGAGTTTGGTCAAAGTCATGTTGGCCTCTTCGATGACCCTGTCCAGCCACCTCGTCCTCTGTCGTCCTCTTTCTCCCCTTGCCCTCACACTTTCCCAACATCAGGGGCTTTTCCAGGGAGTCTTCTCTTCTCATGAGATGGCCAAAGTATTGGCGCCTCAGCTTCAAGATCTGTCCTTCCAGTGAGCCCTCAGGGTTGATTTCCTTCAGAATTGATAGGTTTGTTCTCCTTGCAGTCCAGGTGGCTTTCAAGAGCCTCCTCTGGCACCACAATTTAAAAAGACCAGGCTAGACCGGTGTGTGTGTGTGCCAAACCCTGGAAGTCTCCTCCAGCACCACCATTCAAAAGACCAGGCTAGGCTGGTGTGTGTTTGTGTATTTGCTAAACCCCGGAGGCCGAAGGGCAATTTTTTGGCAACCACAACACCAGTCCCCCCTCAAAACAAAACCAAAAGGGTCTGATAGTGGCCAGAAGTCCACATTCAGTTTTGTAAATCCTCCACAGGCGTTTTAATGCAAAATGGTCACTCCTGGAGATTTCCAGGAAAAGGCTGTCATTTTTAGCCAGGAGGGGAGAAAAAACATATGTAAAATCCAGCACATAGAGAGAGAGAGTCCTCCTTCACTCCACCCCTGCCTCTGATGGGTTGGCAACCACAAGTTATGGCTGGCTACCAAGGCTAGCCAGCTGTTGTCCATTTCCAAGGCACTTGGGTCCTTCTATGGCAGGGGTTTCCAACGCTGGGTCCCCAGGTGTCCTTGGATCAAAACTCCCAGAAGCCTTCACCACTCAACTGTGCTGGCCAGGATTTCTGGGAATTGTAGTCCAAGAACATCTGGGACCCCCTGCCCTATGCTTAGGGAGAGAGAGTGGGTCTTAGAAGGCCTGGAGTCTCTGACCCAGTCAAGGGACAACTTTGGCCTCCCTGGGATGTGCCGGCCTTTGTGAAACGGCGGGTGATCCAGGCTCTTCCTTCTGCTCTCCTCCTCCCGCTGCAGGTGCGAGGCCGCGAGACGTACGAAATGCTGCTGAAGATCAAGGAATCCTTGGAACTCATGCAGTACCTCCCTCAGCACACGATCGAGACGTACCGGCAGCAGCAGCAGCAACAGCAGCAGCAACAACACCTGCTGCAGAAACAGTGAGCATTGGGGTCTTGGGGGGGAGGACACCTGCGAAGGGACTGGGGAGGTGTGCGGGGGGGGCAACCGCGTCCATGGTGAGGCTCGGCTTCGTTCCGCCGCTCGGCAACCGCATGATCTTGGTGTGGTCCTTATGCATTTGTGGACTGGGCACGTGCGTGTTTTCTGCTTGTTGTTTTGTGTGGGCTAGCAAATTTGGGGAACCAAGGCCATAGAACTCAGCGGATGTCCATGACAATAACTATAACTCTGGAGGCATTCAAGGAAATAAAAAGGGACAGCCATCGGTCAAATCTGCTTTCTTTTGGATTCCTGTAGCAGGCGGTTGGGCTTTAGAGGCCCCTTCCGACTCCCTCATTCCATGGTTCTATCATTTATCTCAAGGAATGTATGATGCACTGGCCAGAATCCTGTTACATACTCAAGCCTAAATGGTTTCAGGAAACATCACTCAATCCCTGTGAAACCCAGGGAACATGGCATGGCTTAAGATGCCAATGAATTCTAACGAAGATCTTCAAATGAAAATTCAGAGCGTGGCAACAAATCCCATCATCCCACAGCAGAGGTATTCCAGGAAAGGTGAAGCCCAGAAGTTACTCTTTCCCCCACAACTTCTGTGAAGGCTTATTGACATGCTTTAACTGTCCTGTCATGTTAAATTTGTTATTCTGATCATTAGTTAATTAATTCTTAATTAGTTGATTTGATTGTCCTTATCTTTAAGAATGCACAGCTTCCAATGAGTTATTTTGCACTGTGATGCCCAGGCCAGAATTATGCAGTTTATTGTAGGACTTAACTTGTGAGCTTGAGAGAGAGATTCTGGGACGACCCGTTTATCTGAGCAACTGGAACGCATCTCAGCCTTGACAGTGGCTGTAAGAGTAACTGCACCCCCAAAAATGAAAGAAACTTTCATCCTTCTGAGGTCCCCCCGGGTTCCTCTATCAGGCAAACATGAGATTAGTGTCCTACATCCATGTTTGAGGGTTCATCTCTTTGAAATCAGTGGGGCGTACTTTTCAGCAGCTGACTAGATAGCTGGAGGTTGGGAGTTCGATTCCCCCCATGGGATCTGTTGGGAGAAGAGCCAACCTGGGTAGCCTTGGGCCAGCTGCACAGGAGTCCCAGGGCTTCCCCCAGAAGAAGGGAATGGTGAACAACTTGTGAGGGTTTCCTACCTGGAAAACCCTGAAAAGGAATAGCATAAATCAGAATTGACTTGATGGCGGCTTCTTCTTCTTCTTCTTCTTCTTCTTCTTCTTCTTCTTCTTCTTCTTCTTCTTCTTCTTCTTCTTCTTCTTCTTCTTCTTCTTCTTCTTCTTCTTCTTCTTCTTCTTCTTCTTCTTCTTATTATTATTATTGTTGTTGTTGTTGTTGTTGTTGTTGTTGTTGTTGTTGTTGTTGTTGTTGTTGTTGTTGTTGTTGTTGTTGCCTGGAAACTTGTGCCATGCCTTTCCATGCCGTGGCTGTTTCGAAAGACTGAATGCTCTTGTGTTGTATCTGTTTCCCAGCATGTAGCACGGCGTGAGACAGCCAGGAGCTTGGTTTTCAACTGCAAAATCGACTGTGCAACCTTTTACATGTAAAGCTTGCACCCTGTCACTGAAGCCGTTGGAGGGGGGGGAACGACCCAGGGCTTAGAGCCAGTGTCTTCTGCCTCCCCCTAGAGCGGTTGCGTTGGGCTTAAGGATGGGAGTCTTTGGTTATCTCGTCCTCCCCGGGGAGGCTGAGGAACCGCAAGCCTCTTCTCCTCGCCTTGTGAATGGGTGAGACATTTTGTGCTGTTCTCAGCAAGACATTGAGAACAATTCTTCTCTGCAAAAATAAACCAGTGGTGGTTGCATCTTTCTTGCATAGACTTGTAAAGATTAGAAGTGTTGGAGTGCTCGTTTGCATGTGGGTTATTTTTTTCCCCCCAAGAGCCACCTATTGTTGTGTGAGTGTGTGTGAGCGCATGCGTGCATTTCACTTCCCAGAGGGAAAGCCCCCCTCCTTTCACGCAGAGACAGGAGAGCATGAATTGCAGGAGTCGATTTCCTGGTGCGAAAAAGTTGGGTTCTTTGTCCAAATCTGACATAAAGCTTGAGGGATCGCATGATGTATTTTCAAGTATCTCATGATGCTTGAAAGTTTGTCACTCAGGTGTGTTGTCACTTTGAGGCAGCCATCAGTGACAGAGCAAAAAAAAAAAAAGTGACAGGTGTTCTTTGCTATCCTAGTATATAATTTTGTTTTTACTTTGGCATTTAAAAAAAAAGCAGCTTTGTAAAATGCTTCTCTTTGCAGCCACGAACGAGGGAGCTACTACTGGGATCTCAACTGCCTTTTTTTCGGTTTCTGGTCCTATATCTGCCTGTTCTTCTCTGAGCAGAGTCCTGCCTCTCTTCCTGCATCCATACCTTCATGATCACAGTGCCCTTCAAACGATGCCCTTCTGCTTATTTTGATGCTTGTGGGCTCCCATTCTTGTGCAGAGCAATCCAAGGGGGGAGTCCCCACTGTAGAGTCGGGGGACCTGCTCTCCTCCCATCACCCGAGGTCACAGATTGATTGCTTCCCATCTCCTTTGGTGGAGTGAGAATGTTTTCCATCCCAGCTGCTGTTTGAAGTCACGGATCCGTGCCGCTGGAACGCAGCCACTTTCCTCCGGGTAGAAACACACACATCCTTTTAACAGAACCCAATCAAGCTTCCTTTCATACTCAGCCAAACTTTGCTGAGTTTCAATCCCAGGAAGGATGGTTTCAGCTGGTGCGATGCAGGAAGGCACCTGAGCCCCAGAGAGTGTCTGGGATGCAAACGGTGGAAGTCCTGTACGTAAGACACTCTGGGCTTCCCTCGCCGGCCTCTTGAGAAGTCTTCTGAATGATCCTGAGAGGGGCTAAGACACTCTGGGCTTCCCTCGCCGGCCTATTGAGAAGTCTTCTGAATGATCCTCAGAGGAGGCCCTCCTCTCGGTCCCGTTGCCAGCGCAGGCAGGGCTGATGGGGAAACGAGAGACGGGGCCTTCTTGGTGGCAGCTCCCAGGTTTTTTTTTAATACTTTGAGCTGCCTTGAATCCCCTTACCGGGAGAAAGGCAGCCTATAAGCAAGATCAATTGATAAGATAAGAAATGGGCCAAAACACAACATCAGGTCATTCTTACAGCCCATCGCGCTAGACGGCACGCTCAAAAGACCTGCAGGGCAGCATTGCTTAGAATTAGTTTCGAAAACTATCACTCCCTGCCATGTTGATTGGGAAGCTCTGAGATTCCCAAAGAGTAACTTTTCCATGCTCGGTGGTGCTCAGTCCCCTCACAACCCATCCTGGTTGTCCAGAACCCAGAAGATTAGCTCCTCGTGGCCAGATGGGCATAGCCCTTCGGGAAGCCCTGCTCTCCGTCCACGGAGTCTTAAAAGTGGATTTGGTCTCTACAAGGTATTCTTTCCAGCCATCAGTCGATATCTCCTCCCTAACGCGGCAACGGAACAACGTTGGGTTGCTCGGTCTGTTTTTAGGGTCGAGCCGGCTTTCAAAACCCAGGCTTTGCCTGCCGCTGGATGGAGCGACCCTGCATTTTACAGTACTGCACCCAAAGTTTGGGGGTGCTCATTTTTTTTAAAGCTGGAACTTTATTTTAAGCAGAGTGGTTTGGGTGCCCAGATGTGAATGGAAACGGCATCTCTAAAAGACATCTTTAGGCAGGGACCACCTTCCTCATGCCACAGCAGCAGATGGGGTGGTGACTTTGGGCTCCATCACTGCAACCAGGATATTCCTCCGGTTCACAGCCGCCCTCTCATGGACGCCCTCCTGAGGGGTGGCTGGAAAACAGGAGTATTCAAGAGACGAGGAAAAGGGGGGTCCCCTCGTGAGAGGTTCTCAGGCCCTCGCCCTCCCCCAGCTGCATGGAAGCGTTTGGCGAGGGAGTGATCATGAAGGTTCTTCTCTCGATTTGTAGCTGGCCTCGGTTTTTCACTTTCTCCTCCTCCTTTCTCTTTCTCTCTTCCTCCTCTACAGCCTCCTCTCGGCCTGTTTCCGGAGCGACCTCTCTGAAATGAGGAGGGAGCCCCCCAAAAGGAACGAAGCCGTCCTCAAACATTCCAGCCCCCCAAACCCGTCTGTCTACTCTTAGAAGAAGCAGGACGGGGAGGAGATTTTGAGTAAAAAGGGCCCCCCTGGGGAAAACACTAGCCAAGCCAGACAGTTCCGTGGAGACTGGGCGGAGGGAAAAAAAACTCTGCCAAGGGGTCATGGCTTTGCCGCTGAAGCAGCTGCTGTTGTCCAGCTGTGGTCTTGCGAGATCTGGACTCGCCCTCTCGTCCACTTGAGTTGCGTCCAAGATGTCGCTTTCCTTCTTCTTCCACACTTTTCCTGTCTTTATGAAGAACTTGTCGGTGTTTCCTTCTGAGCCGGCCTCAGTCTTCTTGCGTAACTGAGAAGATGTACGGTGTGTTTCCTTGTTAAGACAGGAGAGCACCTTACAACGCAGGTGCAGCTTGCAACCGAGAATGTGCTGCCGTTGTCAATCCTCAAGTGCTTTTCATGCTGGTCAGAAACTCGTAATGTGTATAGAATTGGACAAATGTGTTCCTGCTGGGCAGATGGACCTTATGAGCGGGTTTTGAAAGCGTCAAAATGCTTAGATGTGGCTTTGGCGCATGACAATTCACAACTTTTCTACCTGGTTTGCAAAAGGAGACCATGCAGGAACCTCTTAAAAGTAATAGGGAACTACTCTAGCTTTTTCGGGTGCTGCTATTTTGGATGGGCCTCGGTTGCTCAGCCTTGAAGTTCCCGTTTTTTGTCTTTATGGGCACAAAAGGAAGATCACGTTGCCTTCTCTTGGGCAAACACCCACATCTGAACAATGACGGTGTTAAGGGTGCCAGACTCAAAAGGTAGACGACTCCTCTTCCACTTACATTCTTGGTGGCTACCGTAGATTTCAGTGTTGAGAAAATGCTATTGAAATTGCCACTGCATGATTTTAAAAAGACACACACATAC